TTATTTTTCTATTAAAGCAATGCCGTATGCTTAACTGTATACCTCTATACCTGTCTATCTCTGCAAACTTGTAAAAATTTCTTTAGGGTAGATTTTTAGAGGAGAAATTGCTTGGTAAAACGCTATGTGCTTTTTAATTTTGGCTGATATTGCCAAAATGCACTCTAAGAGCAGGTTTTATCAATTGACACTCTCACCAATAGTGCATGAAAATATCTTCCCCCTTGCACTCTCAACACTATTTTATCAATATTTTTAATCTTTGTCAGTTTGATGAGCAAAAGTGGATAAATTGCTTTCAATTTCATAGAGAAGATGCTATTTTTCTTGGCCATTTGTATTTATTCTTTCCTGACTGATTTCTTTACATCTTTAATTCATTTTATTTATCAATACAATGAAGCTCTGAGCATATAGCAGATGTGACTGATAAGCACGCTGCAAATAGTTCTTCCAAGTCATCATATTTTTATTTATGGTGTCTAATACCATACAAAGTTGATTTTTTTCTTTATGACTTCTGAGATTGTGTCATGATTGGAGAGTCTATTCCATCCTAATACTGTTTCAAAAATCTCCTTTAGTTTCCATATTTTGTTTGTAGTTTAAAATGTGTAAATCTTAAATCTATCTAGAGTTTATTTTTGTGCTTGATGCAAAGGAGAAAACCAACTTTTTTACCCCAAATGAATTTGACATGATAATTAACATTCACGACATTATATGAAGATCTATGCTTGAAAAGGTGCCTTGTTTTTAAAAGCATATATTGAGAGTTAAATATGATCGTGCTATCCTGAGAGAGTTCCAGAAGCATGTATATCTATAGCCAAGGCAGGGTCTTTTTCTGGGACAGTTGCCCTCTATACTCGTCCCCACACATACCAGCTAAATAAAAATGCTACTGTAATAGCAATAATGATTAAAAAGAGTACTTATCTTCAGTAATTAACAAAAGTCAGATATTCTGAAAGTCAAATAATTGGCAAATGAGCTTATATTTTCAAGTGATAGTTTCCTTCATATAAATGTTTAATTATATGCTAGACGTAAATGACTTGTGAAAGCACTTTATAGAGGCGCCTCCTTTTCTGGCATATAGTCCCAGGTTTATAGAAAATGGCTGATTTACAGGTTGGAGAGAGACTAGGGTAGAACCTCTATGAGAAGAGGAAGAATTTAACACACAGTGGAAATTTTTCGATTACCTTGGTCCAGACATCCCTAGCTACAGAGTGAAAATCCTATGTCTTTTTCCTGTTTTTGCCTGATCAATAAAGAAGCACTTCCAAACCAGGTGATGTGGAAGACAGTTATTAAGAATGAATTCTGGATGAAAAAGCTCTAGAGATCTGTTGCACAACAATGTGCATATAGTTAACACTATTGCTAGACACTTTATAATGGTTATGATGGTAAATTTTGTTATTTGTTTCTTACCACAATTTTTAAATCTTTATTTAAGAGTTAATTCTGCAATGTGGTTTATGTTTTTAATCAATCAACAAATATTTGAGTACCTATTTTGTATGAAATATCTTGTTTCTCTATAGGATACCAGAAAGTATAATTAATGGTTTCAGTTCTCAAGGAACAAACAATCAAATTGGAGGAAAAAGTTAAGTACTCATAGAAACGAACAACCTCAGGTAATATAATGATACCAAATGAGAAGGAAAGACACAAGTTTTATTGTTTAGAAAAGGCAGGCATCTCTTTAGGCTACAGTGATAGAAATACGTGTTAGGCACTTAAATGGCTTTTAAGCACTTTATATATATTTTCCAAGTTGACTCTTTTACTAGACCTAGGAGGCATTATCTGCGTTTAACAGATGAGAAAACAAAGGCTCAGAGGTTGTAATTTTTCCAGGTTCACAAGGCAGAGCTGAGAACTAGACTCAGTGTCTTCCAGCTCTTGCTCCTGGTGGGATTAATTTAAATTGGCACTGAAGATTTGCTGCCAAAAAGAGTTTTGAGGGTTAGAGCAGTATCTAAATGTACTAGGGATACTGTGGTTATTATGTATTTGCTAGAATTAGGACTATTCTCTCTGTCATCCTGCCCAAGAGCATCATGTAACACTTAGTACAAAAGAACAGATTTTTTTTCTTGCTGCTTACTGGATAGAGAAATCATATTGCAATAGAATGAGGAGTAGCCTACAAGGCTTCAATTTCACTGTTATACACACACAGCCGTTTAGGCAACTGCAATTCCATGAAAGACATTCTTACCTACCCATCATGTCTGACATCATTCTTTAGAGTCCATAATACATGTGGTATAGTTGAGATAGGTCTGATCTGCTTCAGGTGTGAGAGAGAGGAAAAACTATCACAGACAGCAGAATAAAGTGAGTGAATTAGAATTGAAAAGCAGTTATCAGGGCTAAGACTATATGAGTTACACACATTTTTATAACCACATCCTGCTAGTTCAGTGGATTGACTGCTACCCAGAAAGCACAGGAGCATTAGGTCTGTTCATACAATAACCCTATCTGATTGACCAGGGTCAAGCTACTGTTTATCTTTGCCAGACAGAACCCATATCCTGAGCAGAGGACCTAAAACCTGCGTTTTTCACCAGTTACTTCAAGGCAATACAGGCTCTGACGTTCTTTCTACAGAGTCACTTAAACAATTAGAAAAATAGTCTGTTTTTTAAAGTATTAGGTAAACACAGAGACACAGTGGTCAAGAGTTTTGCTTTTATTTTCTCTTGAGTAGTCAACATTTTGCAAAGAAGGGCTGTGCTGCCCTCTACTGCTGGATATTGAAATGTTAGCACTACACTTCCCTGCAAGAGATGTGAAATAGATTAAAAGACAATCTATTCCATTGTTTTAGAGTACCCCTTTAGGAGTTGTTTAAAAGAAATATGTTCTTGGAAAACACATTGAATTTGTTTCCTTCATTATCTCTTCATCTACTTTCATCTTGTATCTAAATGTAGAACTTCAGGGTGTGATTCATTAAAAAAAGGACATCACAACTTGGGGAAAAATGCTTAACACATCGCTCTAGAAGTAAGAAGCTGTATTTGTGATGCATTTAGGGAGAAACAGGACAAGGGGAGAAAAATTTTCTTCTGACTTAATTAAGGTCTGTAGCCTTGCCATTCTTCTGTCATTCAAGTGTCTTCATTTGCTTTTTGTTAAGTCAATGCAGTTCCTTTGTGTTTCTTCAAATGGAGATGATGATAGTCATCTGGGGAGTTGAGAGCATAGTTGAATAGTGTTTCTATAACACTTTCTACTCTTCAAGGAAGATAATATAGAAATACAAAGGGCTATTATTAACATAGCTTCATTTTAATTATTAAATATGTTGTCTTGTTACCTTTAAATTGCTTTGAGATTTTATAGATCACTATGAAGACTTCTTGAAAAACTCTAAATACTTAAAAAATTATGTTTTCTGCTTTCTTTTCCAGTTTTAAAAAATTTGAGAGTATATGCCTGCAAGAGGCCAGAGTAAAAAGATTTCAAAAAAGAGTTAGCGTAACCATTACCCTACAGCTACTCAGGGACTAAAGTTTAATCTCTATGACAATAATAATTGCTACAACTGTGTTAAACCCACGTGTGTATCTACACATTAAGCAAAAAATTTTTTGTCCCAATTTACAATAAGAATACTAAAACTCAGACACGTTAATTTACTCAAAGTTTCAAAACTAATAATAGACAAAACTAGAATATGCAAAGCCTATGCATTGTTCTGCTATGCAGCTCATTGAATAAACAAAATAAATAAATCTCAAAGGCAAGTCCTTGTAAACATCTGTGATGATGAGGATGGTGGTGGTTGTGGTGGTGACAGCTTACATACTGAGGACTTACTAAGTGTCTGGTACAATTCAAAGTATTTTACATTATTTAATGACATTAACTCATGTACTCCTCATAGCAACCCCATGAGGTAGAACTATTATTACCCCCATGTTACAGATGAGGAAACTGAGGCATACAGAGGGAATCTAGTTCCAGAGGTCGTGCTTTAAACCATTACACTATACTGCTTAAGTACAAAAACTATATAGCACAACAATTTCTAAATACCCTGGAACTTATATTCAACAAGTAGGTAAAACCATCAATACTTGTTATCTGTTGACATCTGTTATACAAAGGTCTTAGCTGCTTAAAAAAAGTTCTGCCTATGTGGGTGCCCGGTTCAGGAACTAATGTTAGACCTTGTCCTCTCAGGGCCTCACTGGACATGCCCTCACTTGGTCCAATCCATGTGTATGGGTGGGTGAAGAGTCATACTTGAGAGAAGAGAGAAGGGGGGTTGGGCGTAGAGAAGCAAGGGTAGATGATTCCACCAAAACACAACTAGGAAATGAGCCAGTTAATTGGAGGGGCAGGGCTGGTAAGGAGTTGTTTCTCTGCAAGAGTCAGCTCAATACCTTGAGGGACCAGCACCACCTTAGGGGCTCTCTGCTTATCTTATCACTCACCATGTGGCCACACCCTGATCTGGAACAGATCTCCTCTTACAGCTTTGATTTTTAAAGTAACATTTGTTTGGGCCGGCCGACTGGCTCAGATGGTTAAGAGTTTGCTTAAGAGCATGAGCTCTGAGCAACAGGGTCGCTGGTTCAATTCCCACATGGGCCAGTGAGCTTCGTCCAAGTTGCGCACGAGCTGAGCTGCCAACAGGTGGCAGGACGGCTCAGCTGGTGAGAGCATGTGCTCCTAACAACAAGGTTGCCTGTTTGATGGTGGGCTATGCCCACCGGAGGCTGGGACTGAACTCGGCACCTTGAGCTGAGCGGCCACTGGGATGGCTCACTGGATGGAGCGTGCGCCCTTAACAGCAAGGTTGCCGGTTCGACTCCTGCATATTCCAAAGGGATTTCTTCCAGATGAAGCTGGTGCTGTGTGGATTCCCAGTTCCTCCCTTCCAATTCTTTTGAGAAGTGGAAAAAAAAAAAAAAAGGCAGAAGGGCGGCAGTAGGGAGGATGCTTGAACAGATAGTCATAGCAACGTCAGGAGGCAGGGAGAATACCAGCCCATTTTTCTTTTGACCCTTATTGCGCTTTCCCTGGACACTCACTTTACCTGGCTGCTCTCTTGTCTGGGCAATGTTCACCTCTCAAGTCTTTTGCTTGAATTATTCATTCAGCAGGGAGGCAGCGTTGAATCAATTCTAAGTCAAAGTGTTAAAATTAGCAATGGCCTGGAAAGCATTTTGTTTATTTTAAGATTGGCATTTTGCGTAGAGGGGCAGCCTGCAAGGCTTAAGACGGAAGGTCAGTGAACTTAATGTAACCTCTAAGAAACTCGTAGTTCCAAGGAAAAGAGGCTGAGACTTGGATCCCACACAATATGTGTCTGTCCCCCACCCCATTCCCCAGTAACTGTGTCTTTCTGAAATTCAGAACGGATATCATGGAGACATGAAGAAAAACTACATGCATACAGCACTTTTTTTGACCCTATCAGCACTGACTTGGCTATGGAGCTGCTTAGGTTGCCAATAAATATTTATTTAGACTTAGCTAAGTTGATCATGCTTAGCTAACCTAGGGTTGTTTTTCCCCCAGGGAATGACGTAAAGTGTGACCATGATATTGTTGGCCAACGCTGTTAAGATCATACTTCTAAATCAAACTCTGGGAAGGCTGGGCTATCGAACACCCCCTCTCAGCAGCTGCCCCCCCTGCCTGTGCTTTTGGAAGCACTGAAAGTTCATTGTCATTTCACCTTCAGTGTTGGACTTGCCATCTTCGAGGAAAATGTTGTTCATGGCCCACGGTGGGCAGGTACCTTTTCAACCAGAGGTAACGTTTCTGAAAAGAGGAAGGCGATCAAAGGTTGGCAGGCGCTGCACCAAGTTCTTTTGGCTCGCGTTTATTATTACCACCTTGATTGCAAAATTCATTTGGAGATTTGTTATATTATTCAACGAATAGAGGCTGAGGTATTGTTTTCTTCTGAAACACCAAGGGAAACACCAAGGGATTAGATGCCTCCTTCCACCATTTATTGAATACTCACTAAGAAGCGCAAGAAACGGCGGGGGACTTACAGAGGGTAAGATCTCCAGCCAAAAGCAGCTTCCCTTCTACAAGGGGTGTGGCACCTGTGTAACGATGACAAAAGCTAACATTTACAGAGTGCTTGCCATATGCAACGGAACGCTTTATTATGTATTAACTCACGTAATCCCCACAACGATCCTGAGGAAAATATTATTATCTCCACTCTACAGAGCAGGAACAGAGAGGTTAAGTAACTTGCCTAAACCTGCCCTAGTTAGTAAGTGGCAGAACCGGAATCTAAAACAAGGGTATATAGGTTCTTAACGAGGGCATTTTCTAAAGTGGTAATATTGCTAACAAGGTACAGAAGCGAAGGAGAGATGGATTTTGAGCAGAGTGCGGGTTAAGGGAAGACTTTATGAAGGAGGCATTTTCCCTGGGTCTTAAAGGTCACCAGGTTGCTTGTGGGGCTGAGGAGGAAGGAATCATCACGGGGAAGGACCAGCCTGACTGGAAGAGGCGGTCTAGGTAGCAGCCAGCTGAGCACAGCCAGATCTGCTTGAGTCCTTGTGTGGCAGGGAGACGGCGCCCAGATCTTGAAGGTCCTAGCGAACCAGGCCCCCTCTGTAAGGAAAGGGGAGCAACAATCTCACACTGTTGAGAGTGGCAGAAAGGAACCCCTGGTCTCTCCCTCACTTTTAGTAGGCTGTCTCCTGTCTGACACCAAGGCGGGCGGCCCACCCATGTTTCCCTCCGGGGGATACAGCCTGCCGAGATGGTCAAGGTCGCCAGCGCGGGTTCCGGAGCTGCACGTCCTGGCCGAGGACTGGTGTCCCGAGCACAGACGCCGGGGACTTGGCTGCCAGCCTGGGCCGGGCCAGACCGGGTCAGGAACGTGCGCGCTGCCGGGTCTGGCAGCAACACCTGTTCCGCGGGTACCGGAAGGCCAGTCCCTCGGAATTCCCGCCGGCCACCTCTCCTTCGTCTCCTGGCCCTTGAAGGTCGAAGAGGCAGTCTTCAGAAAAAACTAGCCGCTCGGTTCCTCCCCTCAGCCCCGGGACAACCCAGGAACAATGGCCTCAGCGATAGGAGCACGCTCTGCCAATCAACCCTAGCCCCCGCCCCCATTGCAGCCGGCCTACATTGCATTGGTTGTATTATTACCGGCCTCCGATAAGATTCTCTTCTTGGATTGGCTAATAGCATCTCCTCCCTCTTGTGCTTTGTGCGTCAGGAGCTCGCGATTGGTTAGCCTCGTTGCCAAGCTCCGGACGCGGCTCTACCATTGGAAGCCGCGGGCCCGTCCCTCGCCGGCTAGGTGAAGGTGAGAGTCTCCTCCAGCCCGCGCGACTAGACCGAACCCAGCGGCTCAAGGCCCACGGTAGAAGTTCTCCGTCGACTCGCGCTCTCTCGCTATGGCGCCTCCGTCAATCTTTGCCGAGGTTCCGCAGGCCCAGCCGGTCCTTGTCTTTAAGCTCACTGCTGATTTCCGCGAGGACCCGGACCCCCGCAAGGTCAACCTAGGAGTGGGAGGTAAAGATGCTGTGCCCAGGAGTGGGGAGCGGAGCGGAACTAACCTGAGCCGTGGGGACTGTGGGAAAGGCCGAGGCCCAGTTTGGCGCTGGCCGGTGAGGGGGGCCCGGGAGAGGAGGCAAGATCCACGAGGCTTCCTTAGTTCAACCTGTCCATTTTACAGATGGGTATATGAGTCCCTGGAAAGGGGAGATGTGTCCAAGGTCACACTGTACAGGTATGGCTGCCAGGACACAAACTCAAGTTTTTTAACTCCCTATCCTGTGTTCTTTATACTACATCCTTTTACTTCGTAAGACATGGGGGCGGCCAGGAATTGTAAGGAAAGGGAGGGAGATAGGCTAGGCCTGGAGTCTGGATGATGGGAAGTGGGTAAAGGAGAACTCAGCCCTAGGGAGCTCTGATCTCAGTGGGTAAAAATTTGATATCAACCAGGTACTTTATTTACCAAGCCTCGTGGGGCAAGCCTGATGCTTGGTTTTTTGGCTTCAAGAAGTTTAAAATCAGCAGGTGTTAAGTGAGATAATAAAGATTGAAAATGCTTCTGCCATAGGTTAATGCTTCCTGGGGTGGGGTGGAGGGGTGGAAGGCTGGACCTGGGGAGACTGTTCTGGCCCTCACAGATGGGGCAGGAATGAGTGGAGATGGTGGAAAGGAGTTGAAAGAGTGGACATTTTCTGCACATCCTTGTCTTCATTTCTTGCTTGTATTTCTTGGACCTTGGACAGCTCAGAGCATGGGCCTCAGTTTCCCCTTCTGCCAAGAAAAATATTTGGACTGACGAGCTTCTGAAATTCTTTTAACTCTCATCTTCTTTGGTGAATTTGTTGTTTCTATCACTGTCATTTGGATGTTTGAAATTCCACAGACACTTTCTCGAACACATACAAAGGCCAGCCAGGGAGAATAAAATGAGTAGGATGATATTCTCTGCTAGGGAACAGACTTAGAGTAAAGGACTACAAATTTAAAAAAGAGAAAGTTGAACTGTTTTGTAGCAGAGGGTGTGGAGAAGGAGATTCAGAATCAGACTTCCCACAGTGACTGTGTCTGTGCACAGGACCTGTTAAAAAAAAAAAAAGTCTTCACCAAGGAGTATGGGGGAGGAGTGAGAAAAAAGCCATTACAAAGTGATGGGTTGTTGAAGCCGGAAATTTGATGAAGCTGGGAAGTGAGCACATGGGCCTCCATTTATTATTCTTGCAACTTTTGTATATATTTGAAATTTTCCATAATAAAGCATTTAAAACAAAAATGTCAGTACTACATAATTTCACCCAGGGAGGGGAAGTGATGTTTTTAGCAGGCAGCAGAGTGGGAGATATATTGAAAGAGTGCTTTGAATTGAATTTTAGTGGGTACCATTCCAGCTTTTATTTACATAAATAAATACAATCCAGAACCTTCAAGTATTTCTTTAGGGCCAGGTATATAGTGAAGAACTAATATTGATGTTGATCTAAATATATCTTTTTAAAACTTCAAATTTCTTTGGATTAGTTACCTTTGAATTGTCTTACAGGGTTTTTGTGAGGATTAATACTTTTAAAGTGCTCAGAACAGTTTCTGGCACATAAGTAGGAGTTATGTAAGTATTAGCTATTATTATTGTTGTTTTAACATTTCTTTGGGTGGGTCATATGAAAGATGTTGAATAAAAGTTTTTGGCTCAAGAACAGCAAAATGAAATAATTTCTGACATTGGTTCATAAATAAACTGTTCCTGCAGAGTAAAAGTGCCCTGCTAGCTCAGACCAGAAGTGATTAGCTCAGGCACACATTCTACAGCTCAGATGGTCACCTCAACTGTGACAGTGCCTTTGTCATGTTTTTCAGGAACCCAAGAACCCCAGCTCCTTACTGTGAGCAAATGTTTTATGCTTTTAATCTCGTTTAATGCTCACAACGATTCTGGAGGGTTGTATATTACTATTACTGCTTTAGAGGTAGGGCAGCTGAAGCCCAGATTAATGAAATAGTTGCCCCAGGTCATATGGCCATCCATGGTGGAGCTGGGATTCCAGGCCAGGTCTCTCACACCAGGGTCTCTGCCCCTCTCTATTTTGGGTACCTTTAGGTGCTTCAGAGGCAGCCAATGCACTGTAGTGGGAAGAGCCAGGAGACCTCAATATAGTTCCAATGATGTGACCTTGGGAGGGTTATCTAACAGACTCAACTTGTTAAATGGAATGTCCTCTCTCTCAAATTCTAAGATACATTTAGCACATTACATGAGTATAGTGTAGGATAATAATGTTACTGGCCTCATCAGTTGACTGAGAATTAAATGACTAATTATATGTGAAATGTGATATGTAAGTGAAAAGTGTTATGTAAATGTTATTTTTTATGATAACTGTGACCCAACCTTTTTTTTTTTTGTGGATGGCAGGTGCTTGGATAAAGGTCTGATTAAAGCAGAGAAGAATAAGAGGTCTCTTTCCAGCTTTTGTATGTCCTAGCTCTATTTATACAGATCCCGAAATATATTCTTTGTGAAGGAAATGCAATTAATCACTGACTTTGGGGAAGATACCTTTTTTTCCTCTATGTTAAGATAAAGCCCAATGGAGGTTATTCAGCTCAAGTTCTAGTGAGGTTGGGCAGGATTAGAATAAACTGCAACCATAATCTCATTAGCTAGTTGCTGCGTGTAGATCATTTCTGCAGAGACTTTTCTTGCTGTGACTATGTCCATAATTTCCTTATACTTAGAGCAGAGCATCACATTTTCCACTGTTGAGTGCGACACTCTCTGAGTTGACTGTTTCAGTACTTCTCAAAGTTTCAGACAAATGGCTTTAAGAGCAGGGTCCAGTTGATGCAGCCTGAAGCAAGACATTTCGTCATAGACTTCATTCAGCCCGTTTGTCATGGAAACTTAGCTTTCTTTTGTTCCAGACAAATTGCGCTTACTTTAACATTTGTTGTTTTCAATGTGGGTTCTGGCATCTTCAAATAAAATTGTTGGAGAGGTGTGTTGTATCAGGTGTTTCTGAGTCCCCCCGTCCTCTCCCCAGGACCCTACTTGGAGAAGGGCGTTCGAGGCATACCTGCGTGCGTTCTTGAGTGGGGATGGGTGAGGGAAATGGAAATCTCAGGAGGAGGAGGAGGGTGATGGTTTCATCATTTAATTCTCTTTGTTCCTTTTTTTTCTGGAAAGCAAGACTGCTGGACTCACCTGAAACCTGCATGACTCCCCTTTAAGAGCTTGTACCTGGGGAGAAGGGCAGTGGTGCATGGAGCTGGGAGCAGACTGATAAAAAGGTTGCTCTCACAGTCCTCTGGGGCCTGCTTGCTGTGGGCTTTCCCTAAACATCTCTTGCTCTTAAAAAGAAGCGCATTGATCCATGAACTTAATAATAAGACAGCCTAGCTCTTACAATCCTTGTGACCTTGGGCAAACTATTTAACTTGACTGGCCTCAGTTTCCAGATCCCTAAAGTAGGGATCACAATATCTGTTTTGTGAGTTTGTTATAAGAATTGAGAGTAAAATAAATATAAAGCATTGAGCACAGTGCCTTGTATATACTAAGTATTCAGTAAGCCCTTATTATTACGGTGGCTTCAGCTATTGCCGATGTCTATAATTATGAAATCTTTCTTTCCATCCTGTATTTCTTCCCTGAATGCCAGACTCATACTTGCTACAGTTTGATGGACACATCCTACTACCACCTCAAATTTAGCATGTTTAAAACACAACTTGTCACTTCCACTTTCCTCTCCATCTTATCTTTTTTTCTTCTCCTTATCTTCTATGTCTTGGTCAACCTGCTTACCACCAGTCACTATTCATCCAGATTAGAGAGAGACCTTGGAGTCGTCAGTGACCCCTTCCTGGATCCCACATCTATTTATTTGGTCACTAGCTTTTGTCTTTTCTACCTCATAAATCTGTTTTGAATATCTCTCCTTTTCTTTATCCTTCTTGCCACTGCCTTAATTCAAGACTTCATTGTTTTCCTTTGGAATGATTGCAGTAACCTCTTAACTATCTGCCTGTGTCCTCCTCTCCAGTTTATTTTCTGTCGTGTCACTCAAATGGTCCTATTAAAATAGCTGTCCATGTCACTCTTGCTGAAATGCTTTCAGTGGTTTCCGCGTGAAATGAAGTTCCTTCTAGAAGAAACTCCAAGACTCTTAGAGCTTTTCCTTGCTCTTCCTCCATGGATCCTACATCCCAGCCTCACGTCTCTAAGCCTCCAGGACCTTGCACAGGTGTTCCCTCTGTCTGGAATGTCCTTCTTTCCTTGTTTATCTTTAAAAATTTTCACATTTCATTCTCTGTACAATCTTCCCTGATCCCTCACAGAAGAATTAAGGGCTCTAGTCTCTGTTTCCTGGAAGGTAGACAGTTTCTTATTTTATCTTATCCATCTCTGTATAGCTACTTCTAGCCAGTACCCGGTTCATGGTCGATTCAGCAAGTCCTTGTTGAATGAATGAGTGAATGAAAGCCTGTATGAGAAACTCATGGGTCCAGCAAATGGGAATAAAATCCCATGGGAGAGCAGGCATAGTGGCGGTTGTTAATTGTTCCAATCACCCAGTTCTGCTTCATTTGGGCAGTTAGGTGAGGCCTTGGGAATACATCTGAAACTGAGCCTGGGGAAACTGGGCAGTGAAGGAAGGG